CGAAGGGGAAAAAAAAAAGAAAGAGCCGGATGAACTTTCGACTGGATTCATTTTTAATGAGAGCCGCGGCGGGCTGCGCGGATGAATTTATTTATGGGGAGGGAACAATCGATCCTCGTTTTACAGCTGTACTCGGGAAATATTCGTTCCGGCAGGTTCTCGCGAATTTTTCCGAGAGAAACGCGCTTTTCTTTCTTTTTCTCGTGTCTCTCGATCCGGTTTCGTATTTTTTGGTTTGTCTGGTTCTTACGTCTTTTTCCTGGGTAGTTGGCAGTTTGAGGAAAGCATTGCTAGTTGCAGGAACTTCGTTTTAGTGAGTGGGTTTAGAAACGTGAAGAAATTTGATCGATTGATCGAAAAATGCGGTGATTAACACTAAAACCGAGCAGTTGAATTGGCTTGTCGAAGTTCCTCTGTAAAAACTGCAAGAATGTCTATTGAGATTTTTATTGATTTGCAATTCAGTGCATTGCTACGTTGATTTCTTTAATGACTTATCAGAAACATCTGTTATTTTAATAATTGCACGAAGGAACTAGGAGAGGATCGTTTTGACCCGTCTAATTTTAGTGTTAAAATTCGGTGACGTTCGAGAGATACGCGAACAGTTTCGTTAGTTTCGTTAGTTTGAAAATATAGATCAATCCGTTGGAAGATCGAGGATTTCAATTTCCGATGGTTTTAGGATATCCGAAGCATCAGAGATCCTTCCGAGTATTAAAACGCGAGGAAGGTTTCCTTAATCCGTTACAACAGAAAGGAAATTAATTTCCATTTCGAGGCAGATTTCCCTCAACGCCGGCAAAGGGAAACGAGGAAAGCGTTCCATTGGAATTCTCGTCGGCTCTTTTCAATTAGTCCGGGAGCACGCGGAAGCACGCGGAACGCTGTCGCCAACAACCGCCTCTGAATATTAACCATAAACACAATGTCCCGCGAGTTTTAATTGAATCGCGCAATCGCCGGCTGGAATAACGAACTGGGAAATTGGCTCGCGTTAACAGGCAGCAAAAATAACATTGTTTAAAAGGGCACCGCAATTTTGTTACCGTTGAAAGAAAACACGGAAAAACCTTGGCACCCCGTGAAACTTTAACGGCCATCCCCTTTTAAACGTTCACTCTTAACCTTTGCGAAGCTAAACGCAAACTAAATGAAAATTATTTCACGGGTAACAACTAGTCTTAGTGCGGAGAACTTCGTTTAAATTTCGAGAACTTATTTTATTAAAATGTTGCATGTCATGGGGTCACCGGTGACCTCAGCCAAGTCGAATTATTATACTTCATTCGATTAAACGATGATTATTTGAAAACTTTTCTATATTACAAGCAATACCACTTAATGCATTGATATCTGACAAGATAAACCTGCAATAATAATGACGTGATCTAATTATAGAAGTTACGTTACTTTCATTTTGTATAGTTTCCTCGGCAATATCGGTTAATTGTTTTATACAAAAACAAACATCGATTCGCGCACGTCATTAGCAATTTTACAACGGAAACCCAACGTGGCACGTTCCAGAAGTTAAAACTCTCGAATAAAACACTCGAACTTAGTCTTCGAAAGACGAACCTTCATCTCCAATTACATATTTCCCCTCGAACAATAATTCAGAAGAAGAACCCAGAAGAAAAGAAAGAAAACCGCTGTAGTAAAAGAAGAAACATCGCCGTTTCACATTTTTATTTTCGCTATAAATTATTCACGGTCGTCGGGAAATCGCGGTGGAAATCCAGGACGCTCCCTCGCGGTTGCACGTGTGTGTACAGCGGAGCGTAGGTGTGCCGTTGGTGTTGGTGCTGGCGCAGTCATCGGGGCTCGTTCGATACCCGTGACGCAATAGGGTAGCTTTCCAAGGGGTGGGTCCAACGAAAAGCTGAATGGAACCAGCGAGGTAAAGTAGGTCAGGCCAGACTATTGCTCGGCGTATCGCTGGCCAATCAGCTGACGGGAATAGCCTAGGCTAGTTACCATCCAGACTCCGCGAGATCCATGATAATGCACGGACAGGCAGACAGCTGGATAGACGGACGCGCAATCTGCTCCGCAGTTTGCGTTTCTGTGTTCCGATCACGTGCTCGCGAGCATTGTCTGCCTTTCAGGACACGTCCACGCGAATCTGCCTTTCACGCGGCTGCTTTAGGGGATTCGCTATTGTCGGGGCAGATCTTCGAATGCTGCTTTGAATAGTTGATACGGAATAAACGAACTGCTTTTCTCGCGGCGCTAACGTAACGCCAGCAGCGATTATTTCGGTGACAATTATATTCTCTTCGATCGAATGAATATAGAGAATGATAGAATATGAAAGGGAAACGAGTTATTCAGTTTGTGATTTGTAATGAGGATGTCTAGAGGGTTAATTTCATGGTTGTTACGTAGAATGTAGGATTGTCTGGTAGACTCTTAGTTCTAATATTTCATTGAAATCGATAAATCGGCTGAAACTATTGAAACGAATGAAGTTGAAGCGAGTCATTGAATCGTTAAATGTAATTTCGTAGATTATAACTTCATCTAACTGTATATATAGGATTAATTTCATTTTCTTTGCAAAACAGGTTCCCATGTAGATGCTTCGAAAGCTCGATATCAAAGAAACAGATTAAATTTCTATGATTCTAACGTATTTAAAATAGAATGAAGGTGTTAGATGCTGCCAAAATATATGTTCCATTGATCTTCGAAGACTTTTATATCGCGAGTGCAAATTTCCCATTCTCATCGCATCTTCATCGCTTCTTAACGAAACGGGGATCAATTTCTTATTCCCCTTTCTATAATTCATTAGCAGTTACTTTGAAATATTAAAATACATCGAATAATCGAGGTGAACGAAGCGCTCGATGACTTTTCGGTATAACATTCAGCGTCTACGCTGTTCATTCTTAGAATGCGACGGTTTCATTGAGAAAAATGGAAATCGCGGTGCCAGAAAACTGAGAAGAAAGGGAAAAGGAAAAGTTACGAGGTACAGTTCGTCGGGAACGAGCGTGAAACTTGGACGGTTGCCGGTCGTTCCCCGATCTGCCGTCCGCTCGAGGCGTCGCGTTATCGAATGCGAGTATATCGGCAGAGAGCATCGCGAGAAAAGCTGAATGAAACCACCTGACGAGTCAGTTCCGTTTTGGCATATGACCAGCCAATCAGCTGACCGGCATTAGAGCCGGTGCTGCGCTATCGATCAGTTTCCCCGTTGCACCAGGCATGCTCCACACAGGCCTGACCTAGGACAACATCCTAGCGCCCACGCGCAAACGCGCGCGATCTCCTCTCCCGACACCTCCGAGGATCGTTCTTCTCGTTCTCAGTGTCGTCATGCCTTCTAACCCCTCGCCCTATCATTGATTTCCTGCCACGTTCGACGCGGTACAGTTCTTCTTCATCTAAATGGAAAATAATGTTATGGACATTTTGTTAGAATTTGTTAGGGATGAGTATTTTTGATGAAGGTATTGTCGAGTGTAATCGGTTAACAGGTCGAAAGCTGCATGACTTTTCGTTATGTACATGAAGAATAATATTTTGGAAATTTTGTTAGGGACGCCAAATCGAATTACTATAGTTCATTTAATTGAATGACGATTATTTGACAGTATTGCTCTGATTAATTGCAGTGGGAACTTGTTTGCAGAATTTTAGAAAATTTTATGATTTTATAAAGTTAAGATTCAATCCTTTCTTTCTGCTAATGATTCGATTTTCTCGGTGTAAAATGTTGAATATATCACTGCAGAATCTTTGAAATCCATAATGCAGAATTGAAGAATTTCTTTGAAAACTGTACACGATTGAGACGCAAAGTTGAATGATTTCTGTTCATTGACGACTCGGATATCGAAAGCAGCTCGCTGCTTTCCTCGCAACCTGCATTTTTCGCCTCTGTGCTTCCGTTACGGCGTATTGTTACTCGAATCTGTATCGCGCGCCATCGAATACGAGTATCTGCTTTCGGTCGAATCGAAAACCGATATCGTTTGTGCAGACGTATCGGTTCGAACGTCTGGAGCGTACTCCTCAACAGACAAAACACGTATTTACGTTTCCTTAACGCTTAGCCAATCGAATGGGAAGATCTCCCACTTTCCCCATAGCAACGCATTGTCTTTTATTTCCTTTAAATTCATTTTATGTCTGTTATTTGGTAAGTCTTGAATTCGAGTTATTTGCAATTTGCAAACCTTTTGCCTTTATAAAAAGTTCTTGATAAAATCAGTTAAAGTTCAATTGAAGGTAACGAAAGAGGTTGTAGTGTTAAATAAAGCGTTAACGATCCATTACTAGAAAGCTCGCTCTTTGTCTCACAATTTATAGAAATTGTCAAAGAACGAGAAGACGATTGATAATATACAGTAGTATTGTCAACAATAAATCACAGAAGAGATCAAAGGATCATTGAACTCGCGATAAAGTATCCGACAATCGAAAGATTTCTACATCCGTCGATCTGACAAATAGAAAAGCTATATTTCTCGCTGTAACTTGTTCCGGACAGACCGAGCAACGTACAAATTGTTGAATTCTCCATTTGCAGCGTGCCGATTTACCAAGAGCCGCGATTCAAGAGGGAATTGGATATTGATCCGGAGGACGTGTTGACCCTCCTGTCCCTCTGGGAGAACAAGCGTCGTAACCGGTAAAAATGAATGCTCGTTACAATATTAACTGCGAACGAACGCGTCCGTTTTCGTGGAACTAACGCGACCTGCTGGTTTTTCAGGAACTGGCACAAATACATAAACGACGAGTACGAGAACCTGGACGAAGATGGCAACCTTCTTGAAGAGGACGACCCACGAAACGGTATTCCCAGAATGATTCAATTGATCATTCATTAATGATATTTGCTTGATTAACCGTTTGAGCGCTGTTTATCAGTATCAATTATAATGACGGTTTCGACTTTTTTATTTAGCAATTGATATTTTCAAAGCATTGAATATTCGAAATGATTTTGAAAATAAATAGTTCCACAGTACTATAACGAATGTCTGAAGAAACTGAAAATAATCTATTGTTACAATTTTTATAGGAATTGCATATTTATCGTATTAAATGCTCGGCAGTTCTAGTGTTAACGCGTCGACTGCCACGAGAATTAGAAATAATTATTAATTTCTCGGTATTACAGTGCTCATTACACTATTGCCTATAAAAATACAGTATGTCTTTATTTCTCAGAGTAATGTTACCATGAAACCTTTAACGTAATTATTCGATTGTTCAGTTATCCCGTGGATGGACTCGCCGTATCCTCCCCGCCACTACATGGACTCCCTGTCGCCGTCGGACATCGGCATCGTGCGCACCCACCCGCCGAGCTACTACGAGCAGTTCGGCAGCCAGTACGGCCAACAATACGAAGCCGCGTCTCAGTACGCCGGCAATCCTCAGTACGGGCTCGTTTACCCTCAGCAAACCTACTACAACGCGCCGGAGAAGAGGTTCATGGTCTCTAGGAAACGCTCGCAGGTGAGGCACCCAGCGCACTCCAAGAAAGAAGGATTCCTAAGCATCGACGTCCCTCGGAAACACGAAAAACACGAGGCGTGATTCGTAACCAACGGCGAAAGTAGTTTCGCGAATTGCAACTAATCGCAATCAGCAGTTTCATACTATTCACTCGGATCTTCCGACTGTCGCGTAAGCCCTCGCCTTACGATAACCTGTCAGTGTGATAGAGTTCAGTTGAATTCGACAAATGTAACTGCCATTCATTTATTTCCAACGAACATTCGATGCTACTCGTCTGTTATCAATCTTTAACACGTTGAACGCCGCACGATTTCGTAGAGCAAAATACACAAAATGGAAAAAGTACAATATTAAATCATTTGACTGAATGTCACCGCAATGGATAGCATTATTTATAATACAGATATGTGTGCGAATAATCATAGTTTCATCGAGTGAATTACAGTAATTCGATTTGCTCGGGGGTCACCGGTGACTCCCATGGCATTCAACGTGTTAAACGCAGACGACTGAGTACAAAGTTCTCGTCTTTTTCTAGTGAACTAAGAACCATAAAGTTTCAAGCACAGTCGATGAACAGGGCAAGGGGTTAACGCGACTCGAACAAGAATAGTTGCTTAGGAATCTACTTTGAAATCCAGCTCTGCTATATTCGTTGTGATTAACAGCAACAATGCGTAGATAGTGATAGCATTATAGAAATAAATTTGACAAGCTGTACCGTGACATTCTGTTCCATTCCGTAGACGTACGACCCTTACTCGAGCGCCTCGCAGTACCAGATGAGCTCCCAAGCACGGGGATTCCCCTACCAGCACCGTTTAGTGTATTAAACCCGGCCGAGTTCGACCCGACAACCAAGAGAGCGACGGAACGACACAAACCAGGAATGAAACTAGGAAATTATCGTATTCCGGGAGAGCGGGGGTAGAATCGGGGGACGCGCGGCTATCTCCGGCGAGTTTCCCCTCATTTTCGCTATCCTGTCCTTCGTCGCGTGCATCCGCGCACGTGCTCGCGGGCCGGACGAGAAAGACTACTTCTTATACTCTAAGGGAACGCGTCGGACGGCGCTCGCCCGCGGGAGCACGCCGAAGAGGCGCGTGGCTAGCCGTGACAGCTTCTGAAATCTCCTTTGGCTTTTTTATATTTATATGACGCTTACTCTTTCGTGTCCCGATGGTGGTACCTTGCAGCGCCATTTACAGTAGGCTAGAAGTCGAATACAGTTTGATCCTTAACCCTTCGAGGACGAAGATTGCTGAAAGCATACAAAATCTTCTGCAGATTCTGCTAAATTAAACGCTGAATACTTAAATCATGGAGAATAAGGAAACTGTGTACCGATTTCCTGCGATTCGAATAGTTAAATCACTTGTTCGCAACTGGGTATTCCAAAGATGGAAGTTTGATCTCAGCAGAATGCAGACATTCGTCCGCAAAGGATTAAAGTACCGTTTACGTTAGAATTAGAAGCGAAACGTAACTCGCTGTTTCTTTCCGGAATTGGATTCAATTCGAAATACCATTTTATGCGTTCACGACTGAATCGATGTGAAATATATTTCTGCGCGTTACTTTGCAATAGGGATGGTAAAGGGGATGCTGGGATCGAGGACGTAAAGGGTTCAGTGAAGGTACTATTATTGACTGGAAATATGAAGCTTTTGCTAGTAAGACGCTTCGCGAGTTTCGAGTGCTGCGGATATTTTATAAAAGGAAAGCTCGAGATGCAGGAGGCAGTCGCTCTTCGGCGCGCTCTCGCGCACTTCCGGTTCATACGGCGAAGTTGAGGGGCCCGTACACGTCACGATCCATCGTGCCGCGAATTCAGAATTCAAGAAAGAAAAGAACAAAAGAAAGGAAGTAAAAAACTTCAACTTCTGGAAGAGTTCTACTGTCTTTAATGCAAAACACGTTTCGCGAGTAATTGAAATTACAAGAGCAAAGTTCTCGTCAGGCAGAATGACTTAAAGGTATCTCGAAGAAGAAAAGCGAGCGGAATTGTTGAATCTCGATGAATATCGTCGCTCGACGGATCGTCGCGTGTACGGGTGCAACGGTGTACTGAGAAATTCCTCCGATTCGTCGCGGGATCTCGTCGCGAGGCGAGGAACGTGAACGTGTATCGGCCCCTTCGCAACGTTTAAGCTCCTGGCGCGTGCAACGCCGCGGTCCAACCGAACCATGGCGCTCACGCCACGACTGAAGTCCTTAAACAATCGTAGTATTCGAATCAAACTACCCCTCAGGCTTGGTTTCATCACTTCTCCGACTGATAGAGAGATAGGGAGCGATGAGTTAGGAGGGTGGATGCTTTCTTTTTGTTTCTCCGGAGAAAAAAAAGTGTTAGGCTAGACCGGTAGATTACCGTAGAACTCGAGGAACCAGCTAGAGAAGAAGACGAAAATGAAACGGATACGAAATTAAACGGAAAAGAAGAAAAACAATGGGACGATTGAACGTCAATCGGGGACGATAGAGAATAGTAGGTGACGTTAGATCACGCGAATTTAGAGGGTCGAGGCTGAAGAGATGTAATTTTCTAATCTTGTCGATTCGTTTCGCGTCTACGAATATTGTTATGTGTGAATATATCTGTGGACGTAAGGCAGAGAATCGCGTTTTCGAAAGTTTACTGGAACTTGGGCATGTTGGAGAAGCTCTGTGTTAGCATTTTGAAGAGAAACTATTCTTTTATGTCTTTATCGTCTTATCTTCGAGATCCGAACTTCCTTATTTCCGAATCCAATGTTAAATACAGATTTTCCTCGTTTGATTTCGACGTGATCTAGTTTTGAAACGATGGCTCGTGCCGTACCGCCTTACGACCACAAATATATGTATAAATATAAATATTTAAATATATATATATATGAATATATATATATTGTATCTAATATTTGTTAAACGAGAGAGTGACCGAAGTTCGATCGAGCTCGTTCGCGCGGTTTTTAATCCATCTGCTACGTGTTACTTTTACAACCAAAAGCAAAAAAAATGAAAAAAAGCTAGAGAAAAGGGAAGGGAGGAAGAATCAACAATTACAAAAAAAGAATAATAATAATAATAATAATAATACTAAACGGAGCGTTGTTGTAGAGGACAACAAAGGTTTGGCTCCGAACGTTCGGTGTTGAAACGCTAACGACATATCTTCTATTTCGATTCACGCTTTATATTCCGAAACCCGCTGACTAAACGTTCCCCTAGACTTTTTACTATTATAATCGTCAATTAATTTTCCTAGCCGTGTCACGGTCACTAATTAAATAACAATAGTTGATCGAGGCGACTGTTCGATGAGTGTTTAGTGTATATCTCGATAATGTTCAACTTTTTCAAGCTGATATACGGGCCGAATGGTTCAGGTTCTGCGACTCGATTTCGGTTCGAACGACTGGATACCATTTTGCGATCCGTAAACATCTCGAAATGAGGGTGACACAGTGTTCAAGTCAGTCTTCGAAGGATGATCCTTTTTGAACCACATCTTCATACATGTATTCGACCATATAGAATCTTAAAATAACGAATAATCGAGGTATCTGATAACGAAACATTGAGATATCGATGAAATTTATATTCGCGTTCGCTGTGAACGATCAAAATTCGCGAGCTGCTCGACGATCAAAACGGAGAAGATCAGCGTGACAAACGTTTCGTTAAAGATTCACGATGTTTCCGGAAACATTGAGAATCGACGAACGCGAAGAATTTCGTTTAAAATGCGCGAACAATTCGAATGTTCCGATCGAAATTGAACATTTCTTTGGAAAGCTTCCAGCGTGACCGACAAAATGGCGTGTCGCGAGACGGATCGGGCGCGCGGAATTTAAACCTCGGCCGCGGCCGCGACGCGTAAAAGTGTGTGGAACACCTGTTAACCGATAATCCATCGTCTACCAATTGTTAACCGAACACAGCAGAGAAGGTTGTACGTGGTTCGTGAGTCAGTGTCCGACGAATTCTGTTTTCGATCGAAACCAAACACGGCCTTCCATTTGCAGCAAACTTGTTCCGAGGAGACTGAATAATTTAGTCCTTTCTGTTTCTCGTTTCTCGTCGTCCGATGTCCGGTGTATGCTCGAAAAAGAGGAAGCGAATTAAAAGGAAAGAAGCTGAATGAAGACAAAAGAGAGAGAGAGAGAGTGTGTGTACGTGTGAGAGAGAAAGAAAGAGAGAGAGCAGAAGAAAATCGTAACAGGTGAGGAGAGAGAGAGATGAGGAAATGGTTTTTTCGAGACGACTGACCGTAAAGGAAGGGGGAAAAAAAACCTTTTGTGACTTAACGCTATCACATATATTTTTGACGATCGTTTAGCGTGTAATTTAGACTTACTTCTAGCACTTAAGTATTACCGAGACGATGAAGAGTAATTCAGTATTTATTATACGACGCATACACACGTGTATATATATATGTGCGTGTACATGTATATATACATATGTAATTAATGTTACTCATAGACGATGAGAAGTATTAATTATTGTATAATTAAACTGATATCAATCAATCGGGCTTGCGTTTCATTCACACATATTTTCATTTTGCCGGTTCGAAGTGATTCTCGCGGCACGAGGAGACGACAGCTTACTCATGGCCTTTTTTTACGTCCTACGACTGTGTTTGCGTGGGTGTTCGTTGCCGAGATATTAACGGATTAAACGTAGAAATTCCGACGAATTCGAGATGGTAAACTCTGGAGACTGTTCTCGTTGTCGATTTCACCCCTTGAAGACGAATCAACTTTCAACGAAGCACGATTTTCGAATTTTCTGTGAACTGATTACGATCCTTTACATTAATATACTGTATCATCCGGTAGTACGGTGATTACATCGATTATTTATAATTACGACATGCGCCGTAATTCAACACCTTCGTGTTTAGAACTCGGTTTCCGTCGTTGGTCTTGAAAGGGTTGAAAGGATGACGAGCTCTAATTTGCAGTCCTAGGCAACGAACGAGACTCGAAGGGTATATCGCGATTTGGATTTTCAATGGAACTTTGTTCAGTCTCAATCGAACAGCGCTTGAACAAACAATGTTAACCAACACTCGAATATATCCGACATCGGCCAACCGTCGACCCGTTTTACTTTACAAATGGATTCTATGTGTGCGTACTATAAAATAAGTATCGTGTAAACGTGTCAACTTTCGAGATCTATATTACGTGTGCGTACTAAAATCGAATGATGGGGAAGATTAAGGGATGATTGGGGGTGTCGAAAGAAGATTAACATGATTAGGGCCAGATTAAACGGATTAAAACGAACAAAAAAAAAGAAAAAGAGGAAACGAATAAGAAATGCAGAGGAGACCGACGACAAAAGAATCGTGTGTCACCCGATGCCAGAAATATTTTTCAAACCCATGGTGCTTTTGATCGAACGATATATAATATTGTAAAACGACGAGGAGGAGAATTAACGATAACAACAATAATAATAATAATAAATAACTATATTCTATCCAGACGTATTCCTTATTGTAAGAATATTTTATTCTTCTCCCGGTGATTAAATACACGAGATGCAAATTGAACTGCGTTTGTTATTCATTCGACAGAATAGAAACGGATGGTTACTTAAACAAATAATAACACAACAATCTTCGAAATTATCAGTTTCCCTGAATCATTAGGTTCCCTTGTCGACGGATTTATTTCTGCACGATCGAAATTAACACTTTCACGTCCGCACGGTTCAAAAAAATTTTCTTCCCTGTCGCCGGAACTTTTTGCAAAGTTGTTCATTAAAATGGACAAATATAAAATATAAAATTCATTGCAACATAATAAACTTAGCTGCTTTTTATTAAATTATACGTGTAAATAAATGATATTTATAGTAATTTAATTAGAATATATTTTTTTATTAAGCTTCTCTTGAAAATAAAATATCTCCACTTTAACGAAATTCTGCATTTAATATTTTTCTTTTTGATGGTAGGTAGCAAAACAGCTCCCCAAATATAACGCAACTTTGCAACTTTTACACATCAAATTTGTGGCTTTTCTCATTTGATGTGAATAGCATACGTGACATCTTCTTCTTTTACGTTTATTAGTTGGACAAATTGGAATCAATTGGTGGTATTTTAAATTTCCAGAAAGTCTGTGAAGTGGGTCATGATGACGATGAGTCGATGTTGTAGGATTTTCAAAATTCTCTTCGGTGTGCGAGTTTTGTATCCAGTATCTTGATGTATGCAAAAGGAAGTCACGAAATACTAGAGTTTTACCACAACTTACATTCATATGTTGATATACTGTAAACGCATTGAACAAGCTGCAGTTAAAAAGATATAGTGTAACTTTTTTAGACCACTTTATTGTCTTTCTGTATATGGGGTAATAGCTAAGATATTGATCAGCCCGATCCACTCCTTTCATATGCTGATCATAATCAAGAATACATCGGGGCTTTTGAATAGATCAGCCAGGTTTCCTACAAATCTTTCCAGTATCAACAATTTCTGCATTGTGAATTGTAGAAATCATTCTTCCAACTCTGTTTTCCATGGTTTGCCACAACTGCAAAAGTATTTGTCTTTGTCGTTTAAACAAAGATTCCGATTTTTTCAATTTTGCATTTTTTAAAAAAGCTGGTAGTCCTCTGTGAGGCCTTATTGTTCCACACATTCGAATTTGTTTCAAAAGTAGTTCTTTTGCGAGTTCAACACTATTATACAGATTATCCATGTAATCTAACCTAACCATACCGGTGCCATTTCTACACGATCGGTATTTTAGACCATAAGCTATGAGGTCCCATAAGATGTCCATGGTCGATGATAGAATACGTCATTTTCGACTGTGGGCACAGGAAAATCTTCGTTACCAACAAATTGTGCATCTTAACTTCCGCATTAAAAAATCCTCTTTGCAAACATTATTTTTAATAAAAGGGATTTATAGGCAACATTTCAGTTCAATCAGATTTGTCAGAATTTGTCAGAATTTGTCAGACTTTTGGCAACACAGTCGGTAAATTTCTGTCGGTATGTAACCGACAGCGCAAGTACTCGTCACAGATGGTAACCAAATAAAAAATTTAACACTTTCTACCGAAGGTATCAAAAAACTCGAAATTTCCACTTAAAACTATTTTTCTAGTTATAATATTTAATATTTTATTCATATTAAAAAACGTGGCTTAAAAAATTTTCTCACATATTTGAGAATGACCTTAACCCTTTGCAGACGAACGTCGACATTCAGATGAAATGTTCATGTTGCAAACGAATGATTTAACCCTTAGCACTCCACGTTGTTTTGTAATCTATCAGCAACTGCAACTAATTTTTATAGTATTCCTAGCGAAAATGGGAATTTCAGGGTAGTTTCTTTAAGATTCATTGAAATATTTGATATTACAACTGGTGCAATATTCGAGCCTACAGAGTTCAAAGGGTTAATTACTCGAATGGCAAGTGATCGGTGTATAGTTTCCTTTTTCTATTGTTTAAGCACTCGATGTGCAATTTAGCTTCGCTCGCAAAGGGTTAGAGCAATATCTTCGTGCTACAATGGTTCGTTATCGTACATCACGCGAGAATCACTGAGAACAAAATGGCAAATCCCGATCAACGAGTCCTGATGCATCGAGATTCGTCCCACTTCAGTCTCTGGCTTTCCACCGTGGGCCGTTTCCGATGCATGATGTCGCGCAGTTTCTTCAAAAGAATGAAATTCTCCCGCAGGATGCGATCCTGCTTTTCTCTTTCCAGTTGCAACCCCTTCGCGTTCGAGACCACGTGTGGCCTGCCTTTCGGAGGATTCACGTCTATCGCGCAAGTTGCTCTCATCACCTGAAGCACAATTATTATTAATACATTAACAAATAAGATCGAATTCTGCGTTGCAATCGTGTCTACCAAAGATGATTAGATTCTCAGATTTAGTTCTAATTAACCATTGCGCTCGAGAGATGACTCAGTCACCACTTGATTCCATAAATCATAACAATCAATCATGATATCAAATTTTATAATTACAGTAATTTATAATTTATAGTAAATTATAGTTTATAGTGAAACTATAAAATTTGATATTGAATATTGTATATGCATCGGTCTGTGAAATAGGATAAAAAAGCTTTGTTTCTCTTGAAGTTAACTTCAAAAACCATCGTGTGTCTAATTAGAGAATGTTAAATATTAATTTCGAGGACTTTCCTTACTTACTTTCATACGATGTCGTTCGTAGGCTTTCTGTTCCCAGGTGCTCGAGCTGGCAGGACTTTTCTTCTCGCAGGACATGGTTGTTCGATCAACGGAACTCCGCCACGAGTGTTTACACGGCGTGCGCGGCACCATTAGCGAGTTTCTTTAGCAACGCGACCGGTCTCTATCGATCTGCTCCTCGTTTGGCGTGTCGTGTTTCGTTAGGCCCGCGACAAGCGTCTGTTTTCACTGGCTCCGTTTCAAACGGAACAGACAAATTGAAAGTTAAGAGAATCGAGTGGAATAATTAAAAATAAAATCGTTTTCAACGCTTGGGCAAACATTCTTCTCATTTTTCAAACTACTTACGAATTTTCTGTGAATTCCTGATTACAATCCTTTACATTAATAGATCGCATTATCTGGTAATATGGTAATTACGTCGATTATTTATAATAATAATGATGAGTGCTGCGATTAAACAGGACAAGCGTCTGCTTTCACTGGTTCCGTTTCAAACGAGACGGACAAATTGAAAGTTAAGAGTCTAATCGGATAGAATAATTTTCAACGTTTGCGCAAACATTTTTCTATTCTTAATTGAAACTCATTTTTCAAACTATACTCTTTAGTAAGTTTCAAGTAAATCCTCGAGTTCCTCCATGATATTGAAACTATAATTAAGAATTTATTGAAATTAAACAGCCCCAGTTTTCGCCCCTTAATGTACAATTCATTGAACATTTCTAGCGAAAACTATCGAGTAGATATATTATATAGTAGATATATAGATATAACGCTGGAATATTCGCCCCACGCGTTTGTTTCGAATTTCCGTCAGCAAAGAAAGTCCCGCGAGAGCGGCGGAGGGGAATCCCTACAAAGAAACGACGACAGTAGTGTCGGAAGCTGCGATTGGCGCGGCCGTTGCACCAATCCTGCTCGATAAGGGGCGGGAATCCCCTGACGAGCGTTTTTCCGGCCTTCGTGAACGAGCGCGCGAAATTAACCCCTTGGCGTACTATTTATTTTCGCTACTGATCTCCAGTAATATTTTACTATCAACAATTCAGAAGAAATGCAAGAAAATTTTCTATTCTATCAGAAGTGGACAGTTCATTTGAAGATAATACATCGATAATAGAAAAATAGTTGTTTGATTTGATCCGTGGGTAATGGAAAATGTTGGTTGTTGTTAAATTAGTGAAATCTTCAGCGCGAGTTTCATTAATTAACACTAGAACTACCAAACATTTAACACTTAGCACTCTAGATGGTTTTGTAATCTATCAGCAACTGGAACTAATTTTTATGGTATATAAGAATTAAGCTCTAAGAATTGAGCAATATTTACGTTAAATTCTATATAAAACGTTCACTTCGTTATTGCAAAAGGGATTAACCCTTGGCACTGGACAATACTTTCCCTATAAATATTCAGTACTCCTTTACGAGGCACGAATGGCATCTCTCTCGACTAATAGAAAGAAAAGTTCTGTACAAATTTGAATTACACTGATTTGAATACCGGTCATTAGATTTTACAGTTGAATAATTCCAGGTTCCCCGGGTTCCGTCGAACGGTGACCGACAGTCACTTCTCGACTGCGAACGGCTAACACTGTTTCCAATGCCGTTGTTGCAACGCCATCGCCGGCGATTCTGTACGCGGCGTATTCAGTTAAGTCGTAAACCGCTCTGCCATAATGTCATAAAAACTACCGCCAGCCATCCCGCTTAACCGAGGAATCGAAATGTCGGAACTGAAAATAAACATAAGCGTCTTACCTCCCGGCCAGGTAAGTGACGGTTGGTCCCCATTTTGTCACCCAATTTCATTACAAAGAGGAGGACAGCATTTGCCCACGACTTCTTTAATACGATCTGCGAGATATCCGTGCCGCCATAACCGAAGGACCGAACCAAAAAGACGCAGGCCGCAATAAACCCGTACTCCAGTCGTAAAAATGGCCAGTGCGGAATGAGCTCCCAGGTTTTCCTGGCTCGGCGAAATGAAATAATATTTAGCTACCTGCGGCAGAGGGGAACCCCTATTTCCCTTTATTTGGAAGTACTTCAACACTCCCGGATCCTCTGCAAACAAACCATTTAGTGCATCATTCTGTGACTTCGCTGGATGTCGACCTAGCCGAAATGCTATCCGTTTTTGGAGTTACATTTGCTTCTGTGGAAGACAGTTCTGGTTGTGTGAGAGGTCATAGTTACTCGCATGAGGCGAGCTAACGTGTGGCTCAAAATGAGGGCCCGATAGCAATGGCGTCTTTGTTCCTGGCCGAGCCGACCGCCGTGCACTTTGAGCTTCTTCTGTTTACCCTGCAACATTGCAAGCTCGGTTCAAGTAATTGTAGTTACCGTAGGAAGAAAGAAGAATTAATATGCTAGGAAGAAAGCACGCACACGGTTATTAACCATTAGCTCCCGCCTTCTAACGTACCCAAGCTAAATGCAGGGTAAACAATTGTAAAGCTATAATGGCGTCGGCAGGTAAGAGACGCTTGCAACCGCAATATTTTGGAACCAGGGGGAATTAATGTCGGAAACCGTGCCTGCTAAACAACGTTTATTATATATAAGTAGAGACGTAATGATTACCAGTTAGTAATCAACATATCCATTCTTGCGGACATTCGCACGAACCTCTTGCAATATTAAAACACATTCCTTCGTATAATGACTGTACAGTATCTATATACGTAGGAAATAATTAACGCTTTATTAATATAATGAACGATATACGACGAAGCGCAGATCGCCGAAAACAGAAGACACCGATACGCTTGATGTTTACTGTTTGCTAATTGTCTAACTTGCGACCTATGTCGTTTATACAGGAACCACACGTTCGGAGTCACTACCCTTCAGGTCGTACGTTGCTCGTTATTATTGTTTATCGCTCGTTCACCTCAAAGACGAACGGCCGACGACCCGCTCTAAAAACAATTTCTCGCAAGGCCGATCGCGCTCGGCTTTCTAATGTACCACATAATGATCAATTTCTGAAATTTTCAAAATATAAGTTTGAACCTCCAAAACATCCCTAAAACCCTTATAGTATCAAAAAGCATTCTGTTCATCCGATCTTCCCCGGTATTGCCATTTTCCCCATTTCCCCGACATCGTGTATAGGCATGAATGACGGGCGACGCAAGGGATCGTCGATCTTAATCGCGAGATCCTCAACAACAATCCTCTCAAATGGATGAGCCCTCGCCGCTCGAGGTAGGGGGTGAAACGGAAAGAGAGCGGGACGAGACGATGAAGATCTCCTCGCTCGAGGGGGAACACGCTGTTACAACGCGAGCGGAGGACCGGCTCGAAAACAGGCACCCCCTGACACGTATATCGGATACGCCGGCCAATCCCCGTACTCGATGATCTGATACACTGTATTACATTATCCTCGTGCCGCTCCGAGCCACTCGACGCCTCGCCCATCCCTTTCATCATCCCTGGAATCCGCTGTCTGCCCTCCGCGCAGCCGATCTCTTTGCTACCAGCTGACTAGGGTATCTTCTTTTCAGATTACTTTTTAGGCACAGGATTAACCCTCTGCACTCGAGAAATTTGTCAGTAGAAATACTCAATTTATTTTTATGAGATATAGGTGACGTTTTTTTCAACTAACTTAACGAGGAATCTATTCAATCTTGTCTATTTTCCCTGCAGCCCAGCTTCACCAGTTCGCCTCATTTTCGGTCGATTGTCTTTTAACAACGGGACTATCAGATTTTGAGTTGCAATCTTCTTTCAATTTACTTGTACAGTAAAAACCAGTCCATAATTTCCTTATTCCATACTACTTAGACATTCGATCTGTGATTTAGCAGAATCCAGAGGTTCTGTACAGTTTAGAGAACCTTCGTTAAGGGTTAAAACCCGAAGAATCCGAATTCGACGCCAATGCTCCGATCGCGCCGCCCACTTTCTCCTGCACCTCCGGCCAATCGCATCCAGGATGTCACTACTGTTTCATCCACCGGTACTCCATAAGTAGCATAGTTGCCCTGTAAGTTCTTAGTCTGCAAGTGATATCTACAACTATCAGCAACAGCATCCCCAGAATCCTCCACTGTCGCAGCGAATACAATTCCGCGCGGCGGTGAATAGAATTCAATTCCACTACTCTATCGAACGGGCAGCGAGTCCCCTAACGGCTCCCCCAACCGGTCGCGCTGGTCGTGGCGGAGGCTACCAATGGGAGGTGCCATGGGCGTACCCTAATTCGGGATCCAGCCGCCTTCCGTGTTCTGAGTCCTTTAGTTCTGACTGGAACGCCGAACGGCACTGTCCACTGTGCGCGGTTCTGTGCTCGTCGCCGGTGCCTTTGATCCTTGTTCGGGATACCGCTCGGAGATACTTCCCTCGCAAGTGCTCGTATCGCTGGACAGTCTTAAGATGATGCACACCATGAGTGAACACGCCGGAGGAGCTGCCGGGCTGGGTGTCAGCGTGCTGCCCTTCGACGGCATGGGCCTGTACGAGCAGAGGCGACCCAGGCTGATCTTCAAGGTGCCCCGGGTCGTACTGGATCAGAAGGGGAAGTTTGAGACGGACGAGTTGTTCAGGAGACTTAGCAGAGAGAGCGAGGCAAGTCTGACATTTTAGCTCGCGACCGGTACCAGTCTGTAGTTTTGCTCAGTGACGGGGTGGATGAAAGGGTTGCATGATTTAGGCTGTTTCAGCTTTGTCTTCGTACTATGAGTTAAGGTTCATTTGGAGCTTAGGTTGCGTTAAGGTTTGAGGAGTATACACGTCATCTTAAAACTCTTAATGGTGCTAAATTTTTCAACGATGGATTATTTATTTTTTGAAACTAAATTCCACACTTAACTGGTTAAGTTAAGTTACGGTTTGACGGAGATTTAAGTTTGACAGGTTGCGGTGGAGAATTTTATTGGGTTCTTTGAACTTGGGGGTTGTTACTTCGATTTGTTGGTGAACCGTAAGAGTTGGTCCTTATGGTTTTATATAGGATTTAGATCATAGGATTAGAGTTTACTCGCGTTCAGTGAAACATGGACCACATATGGTACATGCGAATCTCTGTAGGAAAATAATTTTGGGACACATGATAACGGAATATCAAAATATATCAAAATGAACGAAAACGTTGATATTCCTTGAATATTCTTGGATTGTCTCGGATATTTCGGTTATATTTTGTTTTGTATTGATTTTTTTAATATGATACTAAGTTGTCAGGTTAATGTTCTTTATTTATTATATTTATTTAGATATTATACGGAAATTTCCGTGGCACGGAACGTGTTAAGCGATCAAGTGAATCCGTGAACCTTCGGTTTTATCGGTGAAAGTGTGAATTTGTCAGTGGTCCTACATCCATTGCTGCGTTTTATAGTCAATTCCATATTGTCGCGATAATGTCGAGTACACCGGGACCTAACGATGCGTTCGCAAGTGAAAATTCCGACACCATTGAGATTCTTCTCGCTTTCTAGCGTCGAAGATTTTCCGCGAAGAATCGCAGGTTCATTTACATTCTTCAAATGTGAATGTTCAATGTAGATGAACGGAAACGTAGTGATCTTGTCCTGTCGTGCTCAGTCACAAGTGATTTTGGCACGATCCTCGGGAAGTTAATCCTTTGCAGACGAAAATTGAAATCTACGAAACCTTCGGTGACCACACTTCAGTGTTAAATAATGTTTAGAGTGTCCTCCGGTTAAATACGACAATGACAGCGAAGATTGTGTGCTACTGGGTTACTCTCTAAAAGACGGTTAACTTTTGCTTATATAACAGCTTTCAATTCTGCAATAGTATCGAAATTCCTTATTGTTACGTGAACAGGTGAAACTGTGAACTAGTTATTCCCATTCATCGATTACATTCAGCTATGAAACTCCTCTCGATGGAAGCTTCTTAACGAGATGATTTACTGCATTTCAAAATTGCGCAATACGATCAGTGTTCAAAGAGCACGGAATAAACTCACGAGAAAGAATGAAAATCGACGTTGTTCCGCATTTCCATATGCATTCCGATTAAAGGAAACTCGGGTTTCCCGACGCTTACGAAACGATCACCGGTTCCGCTTATTCCGGCCACTGCGTCCATTCCGGCAATCATCATTCGTTTATTCGTTCTTTTCACTGTTATTACATGCCTCGCCTGATGTGTTGACGCGTCGATTAGCTATAAGGAAAACGTATTGGCGATCGGATTTCTCAATGTGTCATCGATACGGGCGGCGGCGGAGTTAACAGGTTGACTCACTGCGATCGCAGTGTATTCTTCTCGTATTAGAAACTTCAGAAATCAGTCTTAGAACTGAAGAAATTCATTAACTAACCCACTGCTATATTACGAGCATGAAATATTCGAGGAGACAATGTCAGTGGCCCAGCTAACTGAAAATGCTTCTGTCAACCTGTTAAATCGGCTTAAGCATGTTCTTTCAATTTGAACTGCATCTTCTCAAATTTTAGTATGTTCCGTTCGTCGAGATGCAGTTTGTAGAAAGATGAATGAGAAACGGTGAGAAACATCGGCGAAATTTGATTTTTCCAGGTCAGATACACCGGATTCCGGGACAGGCCAGTCGAAGAACGTCGCGTGCGCTTCCAAAATGGCTGCCGAGAGGGCCACACGGAGATCGCGTTCGCGGCGACCGGAACGAACCTCCAGCTCGTTTTTGGCAGTGCATCCGGAAATTACGCAGTCGAGATCAGCGACTGTGATTTTGAGAAGGATTGCGGCAAGGTAAGCTTCGTTTTGACAATCAATGGACAGAAGAGAAAGCATTCTTCTCGTTCAGAGTGCTTAAAAAAATGGATTCCTATTGGTTCCGCCCTCAAAATTGGCATATAACAATTTTTAACAATAACATAGATAATCTGTAACTCTTCGCACTTCAAAAGTGTTTCAAGTGTGTTGTGTAGAAATATTCAAAGTTCTCCGAATGAAACGGACGATTTTTGAGAGCAACTGAATATTACACGCTGAATTTGATAATTTGTGTGCGTCGAATCGACTGGGAGTGGGCATTGGAGTGTAAAAGGTTAATCGAGGTAAGTAGGGCAGGCCGACGAACGGATGCCTTCGATAGTAGAGATCAGATTAATTAACTGTTAATGAAGAGAAACGTAATATCGTTAACACATTAACTGCCACGAAAATCTTGAGCCTCCTGCATAACTGTTCTTTCCTAACGAAGATAAATAGGACGAATGATTAATTATCTGCATAATCCTTATATCACGCTATTTGCTTAATAACGATACTAATTATTAATGTTCGGTGAAAAAGGACGATCTGGAAGGTTTAGTTCGAGCTCGAAGTCGACGGGAAACCTTTCGAAAGCGAGACATCGAACGAATCGATTGGTAGCCGCCTATCGAAACCGTGTCGGCAGCAAAGTGTCCGTGATTGTTGCTCTAATTGGCCGATTGCGTGCTGACAAATGGCGTATCGCTGAACGGGACGTCTAGTTTTCGTGTCCTTGGGATCGTGTGTCCCGGGACGCGTCGTTGTCGCCCCACGGACAATTTAGTATCAGTTTCTGTCTGCCGGACAATGGTGTCAGCGTATCGGTGTTCCCCACGCAACGAGAAACGCGTCCGGTCCCAAATTTTTCGGTCCGCAGGGGGCTCGCTCGAACATCCGGCCCATAATCGCGACAAGCTTCTCCGGGAGACTCTTGAAACCTGGCAACCATTAAGTAATCATCAGTGGAACTATCGGACTGCTCGGAATCATCGATATCGAGTTTCTTTTGTTACGTTCGTTGGAAATTTATATGTACCATTAATCTTCTGGGAGATTTTAACACTAGAACCACTAAATAGTTCAAATTGATCCATTCCTAAATTCTATCCTAACTATTAAAAAGATAACGAATGCTTCTCTGCGAAATTACTAAAGAAATTGGTTAATACGCAAATTGAATCGTCAATCAGAATCTCGATAAGAAGAATTTAAGAGAAATTTGAAGTTGCCAGTGTGTCTCGGTAGTTCTAGTGTCGAATAATTAAAATTATTTATACTCCCGTGAAATGTAAGAGTATTAGGGACTTTGCAATGCGATTGCAGAAACAGATTGCTTAATGTAAATGTTAAGAAAACGAATTTTAGTAGAGTTTCGTGGATGTTTCTACTCGATGTGTTTATTTGGAACGTGTAGCGTCGCGGAAAATCATTCTTCGAGTCTTGCGGAGGGACATATTCTTGTACGCCGACGCCGACGGAGGGGCGACAGTATGGCGATCGATAACTGCGTCGGGAATCCGCCATTTTCTAGCCGGTGCGTGCGGTTTCGCGAGCATTAGTCCAACGATTGCGCACGAGGATTTTCAGATATTCGAATATTCAACGATCCCAACTCTTCATTTGCTTCCCTCGAGTAAACGACTGAATAACATCGCGTTCCCAATATTTATTAAAACAACTATTATATGCAACGCGACCCGAGATGCTCTCTTTAATTGAGGACACAACTACAGTTTGAAATCCAACTGTACGCGATGATCGAAGTCCCTTCTGGTGAATAATGATTACCGAAGCAAGTTGCATCGAGTGTTTACGAAACACGTCGAGACTTCGAATTAGAATCGCGTGACTTTCTCGGCTCGGGGAATTCATTCGGCCCATTAGCAGCTACTACAACCAATTAGCGCTTTTCCAAATCCGTCAAGCGGGTCGAGGCGACCCGTTGCCAGATGTCCGAAGACTTTACCAGTCACTCGACGCCTAATGGCTCATAAATCTCGACCAGCGTCCCTCTTCGGGTCCTCCGAACGGAAGGATCCTTTGGGAAGGATCCTGAAACGGTTTCGGACCCGAACAAGTCGAAACGACCGTTTCACTTTTGTACGTCCCGACGTCGGGCGAACAATTCCAAGGGAAACCCACAGTCTCGCGATTTCCTGTTCATTTGCGCTCGGAGGCGACCGTTCGGTCTAAGCGGAATTACCGTTCAATTTTATTAAACTTTGTACGAGGTATCAGTCTATGGAACGTAGAATAGAAGGCACATAGTGTCCACACAAAAGATAATCGAGACCTTAATCGTACGTGTTTTTCTAACGAATCATACCACGATGTGACTTTCAGTCACTTATGAGATTAAAAGGAATGATTAACCCTTTCAAAAGATGAAGCTGAATTATATATCAATTACTTACTTAATAGAAAAAAAGGAAACTACGTGCCGATCTCTCGCTGTTTCGCTAATTAAATCATTTGTTCGCGACTTACTCTTCCAAATATGAGAATTTCGTCTCGCCGAAATGTCGACATTCGTCCGCAAAGGGTTAAAATGTTATTGTTTTTGTTTATAGGGCCCAAATTTTCAAAGCTCGAGAAAAACTGTTGCAAATGCAATATGAAAGAATCAAAAAATTTAAGTATATTTTCAACGGAATAATTGCTCCATTCGGTTTCGTTCTCGCGAAACACTCTGTATGAAGGCCAGCTCGACACAACAGCTTATTCTTCGGAATCTTGATCAATCCCCGATTCCCTTCCTCGCATTCGCAAAGACTGCAGGAGCATTTGCAATGGTACAGCAGCTATTAAACCGATCGATGACATCTAGATTGGTCCCGGTGCCTATCGGGGAGCCAGAGGGCGGCCGGCCGCGCGCGACTCATTATTTCCCAGCTCGAAAACGAGGAGACGCGAAACTGCTGGAACGGCCCGGTTGTTTACACGGCGACCCGCGGCTACCGTTTTGTTTTAAACGACAATGAGCAGCGGAGGGAAAGAGGCGGCAATAAAGAGCGACGCGCGGCAGCACGTGTCCGCGGCCATTGTCTGCGCGGCCGTTCCCCGCGGAGAGGAAATAATTAAGGGCAGAGAGATCTCGCGATCGAGATAGAAGTCGATAAAGAGCCGGCTAAATGAAAAGGGTGAACGCTCCGAGCTCCTGGCGCAAACCCGCCGCGATCTTATCGGGGCACTAGCTCGTTCGCGCTCGCTTCGCGCGCCCTTTCTCGGTCGACCGTTCGCTTGAACCTTCGTTGCGCCTTTCGGATTCTTCGCTCTTGTCACGTGGACGGTTTGAGGAATTAACTCGATATTCCACGAGTCTTGAGTTTTTCGAACGATAAGAGATTCTTAGGAGGTTCGGAAATATACGACGAAGGATATGATTCGCTTATCCTGTAGAATTCTGTTACAATTATAGGTTCCGTGGAATGAATATGTCTTGCAATGAAGTAAACACTTTATTCACAATCTAGTTCACGACTAAATTCTTTCTTGAAGAAAAAAAACGAAAGAAATACAACGTTCGAGCGTTAATACCGCCGGGAGATACTCACGTTTCAGAACGTAAATTTTCCTTGACTTAGGTCAGGATGATTTACAACTCGGCCAGGTTGTTCGGTAGCCCTTCCAACCGGCCGAACGCAATTCCCTAGAATCGCTCTGGTTCCTCGAACCATCTCCAACCCTTCGAATCGTAAAATTCGAGTTGGAATAACTGCAAAAACCGCTTGCACCTTTAACCCCTGCGTTTCGCCACCAAAACGCCTGGCCATAATTCTTCATACTTCTCTATTCTAATTATCTTGAACTGATAAATTACACTTTATTTAGTTAAACATTTCAATAGAGAAATACTCCAAACAACAGTACCATTCAAACACCGTCGAGTTACCTCGTCTTCGCAGTCAAAGCTCGAAGCACCAAAACCGAGTCTCGACTCATGAATAGAAGTCAAACATAAATCACAGGGAAAAAACGGCCGATTTAAAGAATCCGGACGAAAAGTAGACAAAAGGACGTTCCGCTGACCATGTGCTAACTCGTTGACGAATGTCCCGGGCATTGTGCTGGTCGTTAGTGGACCGGAGGCAGCAAAAAGGCGCAGCGGCTCGGCTACGCCTACCGAAAAACAAAAGCGTCCGTCGAAATAGCCGGTCCTCCCTCCCCCCGGGGACAATTCCCGCGTTTTTTCTCTTGCCCTGTTTCTTGTTCTCGTGCCTTTCCAACCCTTTCCCGATTTTTCATCCCCTTTCGTTCCAGCAGGCAGCCCGGCTCGTTGCGTCTCCGTCGCGCTCCCCCCGCGCTCCCCCCGCGCGACGCTCCCGCCGCGAGCCGACATGCAAATGGCGAAAGGGTTGAGGACACGCGTTACAGTTTAAATATCGCCGGCTATTATGCACCCAGCGCGTAATGGGTCACGCCCCATCGCGGCGCGAACAGAAAAGGTGCGAAATGGATTCTCCGACGGTGTTTGTCTCTCCGCGCCCGGTCCGCGTGGGAACGAGAGAAACGGCGCCGAGCCGCTGTCAACGGTTCGGCTCCTTATTTGTTTCTCTCCGCTTTTTTTCCGGGCTTTTTTCCGTCGTGTCGCGATCCAGTTAATGACGAGGCCGCCGCGATTTGCATCGCGACGAAGGGTTGAACGCTTGTTTTCTGGCTGTTAGGGCGCTCGGTTCCGCTTCGCTCCTGCGAGTCCAACGTGTTCGTTGGAAGACAGTTCGTTGACAGTGTTACTTGTACATTCAAATCACGGGGTCAAAGGTTTCGGCTCCTCTATCCTGCATTTTTCTCCACTTTCATTCTCTCAATCACCACTTGACTCGATACAACAAAACTAAAGTTGAATGTTGAACGTTGAATTCGAAGCTCCGAATTTTATGTTTCGAAATCGAATGTCGTACATACTCGGAACGGTACAGTTAGCCGCGTACCTCGAACGAGATTGTTCTTTGAAACGCGTGTTACGAATTCCCCGTAAGACGGATAACGGAAATTCGCTTACATCAGCCTGAGATCGGACTTGGAAATGCAAATGAGTACGTGGGTCGAGCGCATCCTTCGAGGAACGTTGTTCAACGGACTTTCCCACCGACGCGTCACGGGTTTTACGATTCGTGAGACGGTTTCGTACGTCAGGCATCGGTATTGTATGTCAGAATCAATTGTCGGCGATGGCTGACGTCATCTCGTTTCGTTTATCATTAGCGTCATGCCGTTCGAACGTTCGTCGAACCTCTTCATTTATTTTCTAACAGTTCCTTTTGTCGTTGAAAATTGTTTTCAAGTGTTTTCGACGAAACAGATACCTGTGATTTTGTTTGATAAACGTTATGATTCCGAATAATTTTAAGTCGTTTCGGTAGAAATGACAGAAAAAGAAACATTTCACCAGTTTAAACGCGATGATTTGGAATAAACGAAGCTTTACGAATGCACTCGGGATCCCGGAAACGAAAGATTGCTCGAAATCGAACGGAGTCGTTGCGAATACGAGGAAAGAGGAGAAAAATGCAGGAAAGAGGAGCCGAAACCTTTGACCCCGTCGAATGGAGCGCGTCGATCGTTACAAACATCGAAATTACAGGCGAGTCGACCGGCGGAAACATAGGAGTCTCGTTTCCCGTCGCGAAGGAACGAAAAAAGTCGACGGAAAAGTCATCGTTACGAGTCTCGGGGCTTTTCAGCAGCTTTTTTTCCTCGTTCCCGTCGAGGCTTACAGCTGGTTGTCGACAATGCGACGGCGCAGCGTGCGACGCTTTGTGCAATCATAATCGAGCCGCGGGAATCGGCCGCGTGTAATTGGAACATTCGATCGACCGATAATCGACCGACGCCGAATTTTCCGGAGTCGTCGCTTTTCACAAGGGACTCGAGGAACTTCTCGGATGAATCCCGAGTCAGAATTACTCCGGGCAAGGAGGGAAAACGGAGCGCAGTCGAAAACGAATAGGAAGCGACCGACAGGTTTTCCTCGAGCGAGCAATTTCGGAGCGGGGCGACCGGAAACGGGGCCGTTCGTCAGGAAATAAAATTACCCCGTTCGGCCGGGACGAGATAATTGCCCGTCTCCAGGTTTTTTCGGGTCCGTCGGCTGGTCCCTTCCCGACCTTTCGCGTTTCGGGTGAATTGTTCACCAGCTACCACCCATAAAAGCGGACCGCGTTTTTCGATATTCTTCACTCCATTGCTTTCACTTTTCTTCTATGTTCCTAAGATTTGTAAATCCTAGAGATTTACGAGACTATTGATGCATCATACAAAGCTCAATATTATATAGAAGACTTTATAATTTTGCAGATCAGATCAAATCTATTTGAATCATTTCTCGAAGAAGTATTCGCGTGCTTTCAATTATTGTGAATGAATAAACGAGGAATCAGTCATTTTGACTGATAGTTTCAGTGTTGATTATCTTTGCTTCTAATTCGAATTATTTAATACATTCTACACATTAAAACCCGATTTCCTCGATTGTCCTCAACGGGGAAGGTTCGCCGTGCACCGGCTCGCAATTTCATCTTTCCCCGAAGCTTGTAGCGTCCAATCTGCGTAATCGTTCTCTGGAAATAAGAAACGCGCCGCGGAGAGGGGCGGCCGGTGCGCCAGGAACATGATTGAAACCTGAACACGGGTTTGCGAGCCTTAATAGACCCCTCCCACGACGCGTCCGCGATGTACAGGGTGCTTCAAGAAACGTGAAACATTGTTCCTTTTTTCTTTGTCTCGACAACCAAGATAATGTGCAATCAATTTTTCATTACCGTCAAACACGGTGATTATAAAGGCTTCGGCGAGAGGAACGTGTTCTACGTTCCTCTTTATTTCAACACTAAAAATACCGAGCAGTCGAATCGAATTTTTAAAGTTCCTCTGCAGAAACTTGAAGAGTGCATCTGTCGAGATTAATTGATTTATATTTCAGTTCGCGTATTGATGAATCGATTTCTTTAATAATTTCTTAGAGAAGAATTTTACTTTAATAATTGCAAAAGAATGAGTGAAGAATCAGGAATGGGTCATTTTGATTCGTTTATAGTTTTAGTGGTAACTTCAACCCTTTGCGGAGGAGAATTTAAACTTTTCGAAAACTTTTTCATAAAGAAGCTGAGTTACGCAAGTAATAATAAAACACTAGCTCTCGTCATTCGAATAATTCAATTACTCGTTGCAGTTCTCGAATTTAGATGTCAAACCTCGGAATCTCAATTATGACGACATTCGACCGCGAAGGGTTGATTGCTGCAGCCTTGAGTGACGTTGACTCTTTCGAGGCTGCGAATCTTGCGAGATAATGAAAAATTACGTAACACGTATCACGAAGTATAACATCAATTGATGAATTCTGTAATATAATTCCTGATGAACCTCCAGTTGTGAGTGAGATGAAACGTGTAGAAACCTGTAGATTCACGATGTGGTCGTGACGTGTACTTTTGAAACACCCTGTACAAGCTGGGGCTCGGCGGAAACGGTGCGATCATCGTGATCATCAAACGCCGCTCGTTGCTCTCGCTCGTTTCAAATTGCTCTGCCCGATCGTGCGTTTCTTCTGGAAAAAGAACGAGAAGACTCGAAATGATCGAATAATCTCGCGCGTTCTGTCGTAGTCCGAGATCATCGAGATTAGATGATAATCGATTGATCTATCCGCTGCCGGGAAATGAATAAAATTGTAGGTTGCTTAATCAACTGTTCGAGAATAATTGAAATAGCAGAAATTAATGTATCGAGTGAAATTTTGCTCTGGATGGCGAACATTAAATGAATAGAAATAATTAGTTGCTCGATAGAGCTGTTTCTTAACGGAAATGAAAATATGTGTAGGTCCACCTGAGATCACAGTTGATAATGAACGGTGTGTGCGTGATATGGCGGGGCTGGCTCGACCTGGAGAGGCTGGACGGTGTCGGTTGCCTGGAGTTCGATGAGAAACGCGCTGCCGAAGAAGACGCGATCCTCCGTGACCAAGTGGAACGTTACAGCCAGCGTCAGCGCGACCTCGACGAGAAACAGAGAGCGTACAGGTAAGTTGAGACCGTGTTTTTATAGCTGAAATCGAAAAGTCTTATCAAATAATCGTTATTTATTGAAAGAGTTCCAAAATGAGTTATCTGTCACTTGTGATCGCCGTTTGCACCGGAAGTCTACGTTTCCTTAATTACTTTGTTTTGAGAAGTTTTCTATGAGCTTTGTGGTTAATGTCCTCAACTTCAGTAATAAACAATTTAGAATGATAACAGATTTCAGTGATAAACGGATAGCAATAATGAGCAAGTTTTTATTATAAGTCATAGTTGATGGCAACCGAAATTCTGCGATAATTATTTTCTTCAAAGACAATTCTGCAACAACTATGTTCTTCAAAGACATTTGTACGATAACTATTTCCTTCAGAGACAATTCTGCAACACCATTTTCTTCAAAGTCATTTCTGCAATAATGGTTGTTTTCGGTGGTGCTTACAGGAGCAGTGCGCCCCACCTAAATTACCATCACCATCACCACCACGGTCATCACGTGAGCGGTGCCGGCACCGGCGCCGGAAGCGGGATCGAGCCACATTTGACGCACCGACAGGACCCCGAGATGGAAGTGCGGCTGAGAGCCTACTGAGGCACCGAGAAATCATCCAGCAAGACCTCGTGAGTCTCTAGGGATCAAAAACACTTGCTATTCGAAGCTCGTAGAGCTGACGGCAATATTTCGGGCGCGTCGTCTCATAGGGAACACCGTGGCAAGGATGGGGAAGAATCATCGGATGCCGATGAAAGATTTCGATCGTTCGGTATGTGATCCTAACTGATTTTCAGGTCTTAGACGATCGAATTTCGGAAGATTAAAGCTTTAAAATGGATTCTGAGTAGATTCGAAGATCCTACGAGGTTTCTTCGGTTACTTTCTTCGAGCACTTTCTCCGTTTCTTGCCAAGGTGTTGGAAAATAGGTGTATCGTTAGGTGTAAGGTGTAAGCCAGTTCCGTTGTAAAGTAAAATTTCTGTTCAGTCAGTGACGATTAACATGTGACGCTTAATACAAATCACTCGAATCACTTTCTATAATCGTTAATCGGGGTAATGTGTTGATACTGTACGTTTCGAGTTGATTTACCGGCGTTGATATGATTACACGCGTAACTTACGTATAAACGGTATATTCGAAATAACGTTGATCGCGGCGCGTAATTAATGATTGCAGAAAGTAATCGCGGTCGAATTAACAGTTGCATATTAATTGTTGTCAATCGGATCGCCAGCTCCGACGAAAATTTTACTTTCCCTCGCGAGGCGACTGTGAAACGTCGGATTCAAGATGGCGGACCGCCCGTTCGCGGGTCATCATCGCAGCGAATTCCCGTCTTTCCAAAAGAGATACGGTAGTCACAGCTGGGAGATCGCTTGATATCTATCAACAGTGAATCGATGTTCGAAGATAGAAATTGGAAAGTAAAATCGATACATTTAACTAACGAATGAGAATTCTTCGAGTGACCGTCGAGTAGTCATCGAGTGATCTCCTAAGGTATGCCACGGACAAGCTGGTTTCCGGTTTACATATCAAACCATTACGATCGGTGCGGAAGAACAAAATGGCGTCGATGAGTCCAGATATTCAGAATCTTTTAATATTCTCGCGTGAGTAACGCTAATTATTTTACTAACTCTCATTCGAATCGAACGAACTTTATCTTAGCGATTTCATTGAAAGTCCAACTTCTGTCCGTACCGTTCGTATCTTTCGTTGAATCGAGGATATACAGGGTGTAACGGGCGACTGGGGTTAACATTTTACGTATGTTTTGGAATAATGATGTTCCGTGTTTTAACCACTTGCGGTGCAAAAAAATTCACGCGTGCCAGAACAGTCAACTGTAACAAAACGCATCAACTGCCGATGAAATTACGCACGTATAAATACTAAATTCTTTTATTAACACATTGAACGCAGCACGATTTCGCAGAGGAAAACACACAGAATGGAAAAATCATTTGATCGAATTGCATTACTATTCCACGTTCATCTAGCTGAACGTCATTGCATTATGCAGCATCACTTACAATGTAGAAATGCTTTCATATAATTGTCGTTTCATTGAGTGAACTATAGCACAACATGGCATTCAACGTGTTAATAATCTTGCATATTATATTTTTCAAATCAATTCGGAAAATTGACATTTCTGTGACAGTTGTCTGTCGACGTGTACAACACGCCGACGTTCCTGTAGCAGAAGCACCTCGACGTGGCGCGTCTTTCCACCGGAAGTGGTTAAATTTCATGCGAAATTCTTCTTTATCCGTTCGATTTCGTTCGTGCGGCAGCACCCTGTGCAATATAATTGCTGGTGGCGAGGAAACGATGGTCAGGTCGTTAAATTGATTGCCAGCGTACCCGATACGGCGAACAACGGGGACGCTCGTGATCAGTTTTCGACGGACCACCCTGTATATAGAAAAGATAAGCTGGCAGTATTCATCCGTGTATCAACACTGCGAGTATCATTGTATGTATTCCATCCTCAGAGAACAATGCGCACGGGATTACATAGGATTAGCGGATCCTCTTAATCCACCGGTTAATTTTTCGGGAAAGCATTCTCTCTTACGAAACAATCGAGCAGGCAAAAAACTTAACGGAAATGCAAATACCAAGGAGAACGATGCTTCGAGTCGACGTGGAGATAATTACTTTGCGAGTTTTCCTTTGAAATCATAAATTTTTCGAAAATCCTTCCCTTTAAAATTAATCACGCAGGCAAACAAACTTAACGAAAATTTGAATAGTCGACGCGAAGATAATTACTTTACGGTTTTTCTGCTGAAACCATAAATTTTTTGAGAAACCGTTTCCTCTTTAAAATAATCACGCAGGCAAATAAATTTAACGAAAATATGAATACCGTGGAGGATGCTTCAAGTCGACGTGAAAATAATTAATTTAATTAAATTTTTCGAATTTTCAACCGTGGAATGCAATTACATGGCATTTCGAGCTCTACAAAGGTTTAGGTACAATATATTGTATAATATACATATCCATTTTCTAATTTCATTGCATTTTGGAGAATGAAATATTTGAAAATCGGGAAGCTTCTTTGTTGCAAATAGACGCGAGCTGCATTCTGAAGGCGACGAATCAGATTTTACGGTTACAAGAACGCGAGTGAATAACAACGACGCGAGATCCACGTTTTTATTGAATTGTACATATGTGTAAAGACAATTTAGGTTAATTTATTGCAGTGTCGACCGCTTTCTTTCTCGGATCGCGGGACTGATGTGAATCACCGACCGGGGAATGCCTGGCGAGTGATGAGTCCGAGCGCGGGGAAACCCGCGTCCGATCGTTGACGCTTCGATTGTAAAAAGCTGTTTATCGATTAAATGTGACTTTCGTGGAAAACGACACGATGCATTTGTTATTGCGAGGATGCCCTCGAATGTCCTTCGACGATTCGACGAATCGTCGAGTGTCTTCCTTTTACAGGTAGAAGGTGTGCCGCAGTCAGCACGAATGTTAAGTGAAGAGGGAAACAAGTTCAAACCCACAAACCCACAAATTCACTAATTTACTAATTCACTAATATACAAATTTACAAACTTTCAAACTTTCAAACTTTCAAACTTTCAAACTTTCAAACTTTCAAACTTTCAAACTTTCAAACTTTCAAACTTTCAAACTTTCAAATTTTTAAATTTTCAAATATTCTAATATTCAAATATTCAAATATTCAAATTTTCAAATATTCAAATATTCAAATTTTCAAATATTCAAATATTCAAATATTCAAATATTCAAATATTCAAATATTCAAATATTCAAATATTCAAATATTCAAATATTCAAATATTCAAATATTCAAATATTCAAATATTCAAATATTCAAATATTCAAATATCCAAATATCCAAATATTCAAATATTCAAATATTCAAATTTTCAAACTTTCAAACTTTCAAACTTTCCAAACTTTCAATCGTTTAAACATCAGAACAATAAATTGGCAATTTAAAACTATCTAATCTAGTAATAATTCCCATATTACTGTCAGGATTTCGAAGGATAATTACCGATAATCGAAGGAATCACGGTCGATTTACGAACGGGCCCGATCGACCACCTCCGACGCGCCCGTAAACGCTCACGTATTTGCGAATCGACGGGGGAGCTGCATTAGGGGGTTATTTTCTGGAATAATGCCGTGGGCGTTGGAGCGTGGAAACGCAACAGAGTATCCGTGCCAGTTAATCCTATCAAATGGGAATCAGCCCGGAATCTCCCCTCATCAATCCGCTTTCATTGTTTTAAACTCGTTCGTATCGGATTGTATCAACCCTCGCTCCCCTTAATCTTCCATTTGCTATCTCATAAACGTCAAGCATCAACTGATTAAATAATAAGCGACAATTTCATCTAAATTAAACATTCGAAGTTGGACAACTTGAAAGGAAACTTGTTTACAGCAACAAATAAACAAGCTACAAGATACATCCGTTTCTTCGTGACATTTTCCGACGCATTTTTCTTCTGTTACTTTTGAAATAATAATAACAGGACATTGTATTTTTTCGAGTAACTTTCAGAGACTCTATGAAACTTGTTTTTCACTGTTTCAACATTTCATACGGAGTATCTTGCGTAAGAAAGACGTTTGAAGCATACGTTACAGCATTTCCCAAGGATTTCAGATGCGTGCAGCAGACAGTTCGATTACCTCGTCGGTTTCGTTCGGAAGAGCGCAGTTTGCGGAATTTCCAGGAGAAGAAGCTCGCGAAAGGGGAGTAATCGCGCAGTGGCTCGATGTAAGACGATAATGCGTGGCCTGGAATTCTTATAAGAAGCCGTACTCGCGGAGAAACGATACTGGGGGAACAAGGACCCTTGTCACTTCCCACGAACGGTTCCTCAAGATCGGGAACCCAACGGAAAGTAACCGTCCGTCTTCCCTTCTGTTCGGCGGTGCTCCAGTTTCTCGAATGTTCGCAAGAAATTGTGCATTCCTGGCACATCACCTCTACGCGCTTGTAACTTGCAAAGATCTGTAACAGATCTGACGAAGTTTCGATGGAAATGTCATTGTTTTCAGTCTGATGTCGCATAGATGTTCGACAAATAAATGTTTCAAACGTCGAAATCGAATCCGTATGAAATTCATATGAAATCCACATCAAATTCCAATCAAATAAAACGCCTTGCACCCAATTTACAATCGACAAACATCAAAGGCATTCGAATCTCCTCGAAATTCCTGCCCGAAACGTCCAAACAACGCACACAATGGCGTCCTCGAGGTCCACTCGAGCCTCCCTTCGTAAATACTACGAAAACAGCCGAGTTCCTGGCGAAATCTCGATGATCCGTCGTCGAAATGGTTAATACGGCCACGTATAATTTATTGGTCGTAGCGTGACTTTCGGCAGCATTATGCAAAAGGTCCGCGACACGATTTCCCGGCGCTTTTGAATGGACGTGGCACTCGAGGGCCCGGGGGCTGGAGAAAGATGGCGGGAGGGGGGCTCCACGGAGTCATCAATTACGATTGGAAATAAATCGAAGGCAGATGCGACGAGTGCCTACAGGCCGCTCCCGCTGCGACGCCGATTTCTCA